GTAGGTAGATTAGAACAGCAAAATAAAGACTTGAAACAGCAATTAGCTGTTGCCAAGGAGGAAATTGGTTCTCATTTAGAAGCTTTGGAAGTTTCAAAGGATTGGCATAATAAGCAGAAACAGGGATTATTAGATAAAATACAAAGACTTGAAAATGAGGTTGAATTCTTAAGAAAACAACAAACCCAACACATTGAAATTAAAGAAAATAAGAGATGACCTTGATTGAAATTAAGAAAGTAATTTAAAAATTGGTAAATTTAATTAGTGATTTTAGATATTCCTGGAGTGTTTGGGTATTATTGATTTTAAAAACATAAGGGGCAATTTTTTCTCCTTGAGCTTTTTTTAAAATACTTCTAATAGTGCCATAATTCTTGGGTTCCATGGTGGATTTAATGTAAATTAGTTTCATATTAATATTATTTTATATAGAGATAATCCTATATATTAATCCTGTTATGGGTTATATTCATCACATTCTGGTATGATAAAGTAAACATTAAAATTACAAGTCTATAAGTTATGAATAAGCACCATTATTACTTTTCAAAATGTCATCAGTCACCCTGGTCAATTTTACAGCCACATCATAATCAGCCTCTCATTTATAAAATGTTCACTTTGTCTGGTTTTGTTGCAGCATGCCCTATATAATATCATTATATATGACGTCATTATTTAAACCCTAACACCCCCTATTACTATGTAGGCCGGTCCCGTGGGGTTGATATGAGGGTTCACTGTATTATATTATGATCAACTTAACCTGAGTTGAGAAGAACAACAAATACATTACTGCATTAGTAAGCTGTTGCCTACGGGGATTTATCCGAATCACAAGGCAATAATCTTTTTGCAGAAACTATTACGTTTTCGGCACGAAGGATGTAAATAAAAGACTACAGTGTATATAATATCTTAATTGCATTTATTAAATTAATTACCATCTTTTTCGTTCATAAACCGGCTTATTATAACCTTGAAGGTGATGAAAATAAGCACATACTTGAACTAGCTCTAAAGAAAGGTATCAACTGATTTCACATCTTCCGTCTTTGGTAATTAACGTTCTGCACGCCTCCGCTTTGTTACTATTTTAACTATAAGCCGGGACAGTAAATATAAATGCTTATCGAGTGAGAAGATCTTGCTATCCAGAGGAAAATATATTAGATTACAAAATGCGCTAGATTGATAGTTTCTAATAAAGCCATTGCTTGTGTGAAGGTCTGGATATACTCCCTTTGAGGAACGTCGTACCAGTTACCTGCATTGCGAAACTTGTAACATTTTTTTTTTAATATAATAGATTGATTTCCGCTTTGGATTATAATATATATTGGACGTTCTATGGGTTCATACGCGCTTGGAGGACAGAACGTAAACACTTGGTTTGTAAAGCCAGTATGACTATAGGGAAAGACGTTGAGATGAAAGAGTAATAATATCTATGCACGTGAGCATCAATCGCGAATAGATTTGCAAGTTTGTCAAATTTTAAGCACCATTATTGAACTTTATTAATCTAAGAACAAATGGATATTCCCATGATAGATATTGCACCAATTACGATGTTCAATTATTAGTAAGAAAAAAATATTACTATTATTAAGTTCACATCCAACGAAATTGACTAATTTCCCCCAATCAATTAGATCTAAACAATATTTTACCATTAGCAAACAATTATTTTCTCTAGAAAAAAAAGTGTGAGACTGTAATTCACACTTTACCAGGCAACAATTCCATCGGAATGGGTAACATTAAAATTATTGGTAGGAGGAGGACGGGTAGCTAGAGTCAGCAGTTGGATAGCCGTAGCTGGAGTCAGCTGGATAGGCTCCTGGATAGCCGTAGCTGGAGTCAGCTGGATAGGCTCCTGGATAGCCGTAGCTGGAGTCAGCTGGAGCGACGTTGTCAACTGGAGCGGCGGCACCGGTGTCAGGATAACCGTAGTTGGAGGCATCAGCTGGAGCGGCGTTGCCGTAATAAGGAGTGGTGTCATATGGAGAGGCTTGAGGATATGAGTCTGTAGCGCCAGGGTATCCGAGTCCTCCATCGCTAGGATAGGCACTGGCATCACCTAATCCGCCAGGTAATCCACTATCTGTTGGTGCGACTCCAGTAGCATCCGGGACACCACTACTGCTAGGGTCAGCAAGAGAACTAGAATCAGTAGGGTCTGCAGAGTCTGCACCCAGACTCTGAGGATAGGCCATTGAAGACGTCATGAAAGCAAGGGAAAAGATGACGAGAAAGAAAGTAGCGACGTTTTGCTTCATTGTTTTCGATAGTTTTTTTTAGTAACGTTTATAAAGGTTTGCTTTATAGCTTGAAGAATAGGTTTTTTTCTTGTATGTTTATAACTCTGAATGCGATTGCTTCTGAGAATGTCTTTCAGGATGGGTGGGGGCAGGTCCTTATATACTGTAGGATCGCTTGGGCTATTCTTAGCTCTGAACATCAGCAGAGTAAACTAATTGTATTTTTCGCTCTTTAATAGTACTTGCTAATAGGATCGATCTAGATCTGCGTTCAATGGACGTTCGCCGTAAATAATTTTATGAAATTTGTTTCAATGTTTTACTATACATATTATTGTTTTATTGATCTGTCATGGTTTGTCAAGTTCAATCATTTTCCTTGGCGTTTATTTTTGCTATTTGTTGGTAAATGCATTTACAGTAAGTACTTACGGCTATTGACAAAACTCATAAGTGTGACTAATACAATACATATGACACACACACTTTTTTTCGCACTCGCTCAGATTATTTGTCAATACTGTATGTGCACTGTAAGAATTGGGTGTGAATATCACTGACGCAGACATTCTGAAACCAACTGAACTGGAAAATTCGATCTAAATAGAAGTCTCTATCTAAGACTTAGTGTCTCAATATTTAAGCGATATTTTCTCTGTATAACTTGACAATTTGCGACTAGTAGAAGTCAGACTGTTCAGATTACATCGATACAACCCAGCGTACGAGTTTTTTGATTAAACTTGTAGATTTTTTTTATAGTTGCAGAACTAAGTTGCTTCAGATTTTACAATTCACTTTTTAATCGATCTTTCTATTGGTTTTTCTTAGCTATATTGTAGTATCCGTAATCGACCAATCAAATGTTCATGTTCGATCGTTCCATATCTAGCCAGTGATCAGCTTATACACAATACTACATATGGCCTACTCAGTGAAAATAGCTATATTAAAATAAGAGTAAATCTTTCTCACATACAGTTATATTTTATCATCATTATAGCAAAACTATGTTTATTAATAAATTGCAGCGATAAACAAACAGTACATTATAAGACGGAAGACCATAACAATTAGCCTATGCCATTAAAAATTTGCCAACGTGGACATATTTGGCAAAACCGTATTTTTTCTCACAGTTCAGAACGGTTATCCTAATCGATCATTTTACTTACCCAGCCAGATAAAAAATCATCATGACTCACCAATAGTCCGTCACATATATTCATTATTACTTCTTGTAGCTAATGGAAAGCACAATGTACGTAGACTTGTCATTATTGATTTTGAACCAACAGTAAAACTAGGTACAGTAAGACATGAACTAAGCAGTACAGTCAATATCAATCAATAAAATTACATATTGAAATATAACTGAGTTAGGACTGTAGTTCGCATAGCATTATGGATTTACAAGCGAGGTTACTGGTAGTAATGTCTTGTTGTTTAATTGAATCGGCACATTTTATTCTTCGATTCTTTCCAACAACGACCATATCTTCACATAGCACGTTGTTTTCCAAAAACGACACCGCTAACCAATGATTGGTGTGGAAAAAATTACGACTATACATTTAAGAACTCTTAATCCACCGAACCTAGTGTTTGAAAATTGAAATAACGACGACTGACTTCATTGCACAAAAATTATTAAACAAGTATAGTTTGTTCAATTCTATTTTCACTCACATACGTAAATAATGCTTTGCAAATAACGGTCTATGTTGTCTATTTTATTTATTATAATTATTTGCGCCTTACTGCCTAAAATTGGGTTTCCGATTTTTAGTTAAAACTAATTGATTGTACAAATACTTAACTGCTGACTCACACGTACGCAAATCTTATATATTGTTTTTTCAAATAAGTATTAGTTAAAGCTGCCAATAAGTCTATGTCTAAAGCTGCGCATTAAAAGTGTAAATGTTAATTGCTACGCGCTACAACAAATATTGTTGAGTCAACAACCGTGGGAGAGCAATCAATCATTGGCTTTCAGAATTTAGCTGTATTCGAGCGGAGCTGTGGCTTCTCCTACTTTCAGTAAAATATAGTAATAGTGACCGTTAGTGACCTTAAACCCGTTACTACTCACGACCTAGTGTCGATCGGTAGACACTGATCCTAGAATATTATTCGCCCTCGAGGAAATCAATTATTCCCTTCCGATGGGATCAGTTTGGAAGCCGATAGGTTGTGATGAGTTTATATCAAACGCGTTTTTACTTAAGCGAGTAATTTAATACTCGCCTCACAAGAAGCGAATACTCCTAATCGATATAGGGATTAGCGGTTTACAACAATACCGAATAAATTACCAGGGAATAATGTATAAACAATAAGATTCTGAGTATAGAGAACTACTCGTTTATTATAATGATAAAGAAATCGAAGTATTCTTGACACATTAAATCTAACGAAAAGTCACGCTTTTTTTATATCTAATGCAATGTCTATTTTTGCGGGACAAATGTGGGTGTAAGTGACATCCCCGATTGTGACACCACAGGAATCAATTTACCAATAAATACGTTTTAAGACTTAAAAGATAAAAAGAGTTATTACGTAAAGATAATTACAGAATAATGGGGAGGGAAACTTTTTAAACAAATTTTCTGATAAAAAGTTGATATAACTAAAATTGTAGACAAGTCTTTCTCATATTGTTATTTACTTTATTGTAATGACTGCAACAAACTTTATTTAATGCTGTTAAGCAAAACAATTGTTGTAAATTATATTAATTGTATCAGTACTTGCAATTACTTCTCAATAGTAACTAGATTACTTGCCCTAAAGCTTTAATAGTTTAAAGGTTACAAACTGGCAAGAAAGAAAAAGATAGTATTAATATATCTGCATCTATCATGCTTATTTTCTAGCAGACATCAATTCAATTTTGTGTAAAATAACGTTCTTGTTGAACAGCCTTTTGTTATTATTCAAGGCTTTAGTCACACTTTTCATTTTAGCTTCATTTGCTTCTTACTATTATTCCAGGTTTATATTGAAACAATCACCAGACTATTATTGTGTAAAAATGCTAAGTCCACCATTATTTTGACTCTATTTGACAACATATATTGAGACTGTTTTGGGCACAAGCATGCCCTTGTTCAGCAGCTTTTTGAAGTAACTCAATTGCCTTATTAATATTTGTTTCTACTCCAACTCCATTCTGATAGCATGTACCAAGATTATATTGTGCAAGAGCATAATCTTTCTCAGCTGCTTTCTGATATAACTCAATTGCTTTTTGAACATCAGTTTCTACTCCAGTTCCATTCTGATAACAGACACCAAGGTTATATTGTGCAGGAGTGTAACCTTTCTCAGCAGCCTTTTTATATAATTTGGTTGCTTTTTTCATGTCAGTTTCTATTCCAGTTCCATTTTGATAACACATACCCAAATTGTATTGTGCATCAGCATGCTCTTGCTTAACAGCTTTTTTATACAGCTCAACAGCTTTCTCAATGTTCTTTTGAACGCCATTTCCATTTTTATAGCATACACCAAGATTGTTTTGTGCATCAGCACATCCTTGGTCAGCTGCCTTTTGAAAATATTCAATGGTTTTTAGGGCATTTTTCTTTACTCCAGTTCCAGTTACATAACACATTCCAAGACTACATTGTGCATTAGCATGACCCTGCTCAGCAGCTTTTTCGTAAAATTCAACTGCTTTTAGATTATTTTTCTCTATTCCAATTCCATATTCATGGCATAGTCCAAGATAATATTGTCCCTTGGCATGTCCTTGATCAGCAGCTTTTTGATAAAACTTGACTGCCTTTTGGTCATCTTTTTCTAGTCCAACTCCATCTTGATAGCACAGTCCGAGATAATATTGTGCGTCAGCATATCCTTGGGCAGCAGCCTTTCGATACAACTCGATCGCTTTTTGGTAATTTCGTCCTACCCCAGTTCCATTGTAATAGCATACGCCCAAATTAGTTTGTGCATAAGGATCTCCCGATTTCGCGGCACTTTGATACAGCCCGACGGCTTTTTGATAATTTCTTTCTACGCCGGTTGCATTGATATAACATAGACCAAGGTTGCATTGTGCAGCAGCGTGTCCCTGGTCAGCTAATTCCTGATACAATTCAACAGCCTTTTTCGGATCCTTTTCCACTCCGATTCCATTCTGATAACACACACCCAAATTATATTGAGCACAAAAATCTCCTTGTTCGGCAGCTTTTCGATAAAATTCAATGGCCTTTCGTTCGTCTTTCTCTACTCCAGCTCCGCTTGCATAGCATACGCCGAGGTTATATTGTGCTTTGATGTGTCCCTGTTCGGCAGCCTTTTGATATAATTTAATCGCCTTTTGGTCGTCTTTTTCCAATCCAGTTCCAGTTCTATAACAATTACCAAGATAATATTGCGCATCAGCATGACCGTCCTTAGCTAAGTCTTGAAAAGTTTTGATTGCTTTGCTTTCCATGAAATGGTTAAATAGATCAAAAACGCATCGTATAAATGCCAAGAGAAACAGTTGCAACTTCATTTTTTTATAGTTTACAAATTGTTCGATAAATGTTTGTTTCTCTATCTTAGTGGGTTGCATATTGTTGCAATAGAAAGTCGTGTCAGCAGCAAAATGAGTGAATACGAAGTTGATTTCGTGGTGTAATAGTGTGAATCTTCGAAAGACCTATGTCGTCGTCTTTTATTTTGCGTCTATATAGACTCGATTCGTATGAGAATGAATGAATGAATGAATGGATGAATGAATGGATGAATGGATGAATGAATGAATGAATGAATAAAATCAGCGATAACTCCTATTCTATCGAATATAGCATCAGTCAATTATATTCTTGTAGACAGGCATTTATATCAATACGTTCGTTTTGTCACCATCGTTCATTTATGTACGGGCGGCTTTCTATATATGCAAATTTGAAAGTTCTTTATAATTATGGATTGTTAATCTTATTGGTGCAAATCGTTGTCAC